CTCAAAAAGGATTACTGTTTTCCCTTCTTCAGATTTGACATTTAAAATTGGGGGTGGGGGAGGACACCTGAGATCCCTTCCAATAATTAGATTTACGATAACCACCCTGTAGCATTATATATAAATAAATTAACTCCACTTGCCAACAGCTTTAAATAATTAAATGAAGATAACAACTTACCTCAGGCAGCAGACAAAAATAGAAACTTACCTGAAAAGCCACTCACCTTCCAAACATACCCAGGAACGTACTCTACCCCTTCCCTCAAAACCTTGTCAAACGTGTGGCTTTTGCAGCATGTTCACGAGGTCACCAGATTTAGGAGCGGGAATCGGGTTTTGGAGTCGACACAGAGAAGGACTTGCCAACAGCCCTCTTTTTTATAATCCAGCTTAAACGCCCCTGACTGCAGCAGTGACAGTACGGCACATAGAGAGACAGGATAACCCTCAGGTTGGCTGGTCCTAGGGCTTTATAGATCATAACTTTAAACTCCACTTGGAGACTAAAAGGGCAGCCAGTATAGAACTTGGAGCATGAGGATCATGTGCTCCTAAAGAGATGCCCTTGCTCAATAAATGAGCCACTGCATTCTGCGCCAGTCCCAGTGTAGCCCCATGGAGAGTGTGTGGTAATGGTGTAATCTTGAAGTGAAAAAGGCTTGGATAACAGGGGCAAAATCCACATCTGAAAGGAAAGGGCACGGCCTCCTGGCCACAGTAAAAAGCTGACAGCGTTACTGCTGTAATACGCTAATACAACCGCAGCTAGGCATCTAGAATCATAGCCAATCAGCAAACGCCAACAGCAGATGCACTCCCTCAGGCAGAGGAACTGACATCATCTCTGCCGGCTGGTTCTCCCAAACCATCGTTACGTCAGTCTTGTCTGTGTTGAGCTTTAGCCAGCTCATGCTCATCCATGCCCCAAGCTGAATTAGACACTTCTTGAGGTACTGACCCACAGCATTGTTAGAGTTGGATGAGATAGAGCCATACAGCTGGGTGTCATCAGCATATTAGAAACACTGCACCCCATGCTACCTTCCTAAGCCTCCCTAACTGGCCCATCTATGTACTGAAGAGGAAGGATGACAGGAGGGCACCCTGCAGCACCCCACACTTGGGGGCTCTTTGGGAAGAGGAGCAATTGCACTCTAAGAGAAAATAGTGAAGCCATTGAATGGCAGCCCCAACCAGTACTATCAAGTGAGTCAACACCACCTCACGATCTACTGTACTGACCACAGATGAAAGATCTACTCATCTTGGACAACTGGTGTCAGAGCTACACCTATTACTCTGGCCCCTATAGGCCAGACAAAAGGGCAAAAGCAGCATAAAAGGGTCCTAAAACCCTAGGTCCAGCTGGGGAAAGATTCCCGCAGTGCACACATCTATAAGACTGCCTTCGGAGGATCTCCCCTTGCAAGCCCTAGGGTCGATAGCATGTTGGGAGTGGGGCTAATGGCAGAAGGGGCTTCTCAGAGCTGGGGCCACAGCACTGTGGAGGTTCTGGGCAGCACTGCAGCCCCTAGAGCAGCCTGAGGTGGCTGCCATAGCTTAGATAGACCCCCAAGGCTGCCTACATAAGGGGGTGCTCCGGGGGGCTGAATCAACCCAGCAGCGAGTGCAAAAGTAGCTTCAACCCACCTTAAACAGCCTGGGGGTCTGAGAGTTCTGTGTCGGTGCAGCACAAAATCCTACCTCTGATATTCATCCATCACCGGAAGGATATCAATGCAGTTTCTGTGCAAAGGAAGGTCTATACCCAGATTGGCACAAGTCAAGTAGATCAAAGGTATCTAAGTTCTTGTAAAAGTTGTCGTGCTGCAGCCTTTTCTACCAGCTTGCTCACTTAGCAGGATGAAAGGTATGACCTACTAGCCTGTGGCGAGCCAACAGCCATCAAAACTCTTTAGAGTTGAGAGTATCCTGCCCTGTCTTGCACTAGAACCACATTGCCTAGGAGTGGGATTATTACACTTGATGCCTTTAGAGAAACATTTTTCCTCTTAAGTTTTGATTGTGTGATACTAACTTCCTGTGAGATATACCCTAGCCTAGGGGAGAACTGGTGAAGTAAAACTGAACACAAGTGGTTTAATTATTCTCATCAACATTCATGTATCTTCACACAGTGAGATGGAGGTCCATGTAGATGGGAGCAATGTGTGAATGAAGGGTCGCACAAGTTGTGGTAGGTGTCCTAGTCAATCACGCACCTACCCCCAGATTTAGGCAACACTGCAGCATGTTGTTGGCTATGCCAGGATTTTTAACTCTATGGTTAAAGAATGAGTGTGTGTGTGGGGAGAATGGACCCCCTAAAACACCACTTTAAGCAAGATTTATTTTTTGTTTCCAAGCCACCTTCAAAAGGTTGAAAAGAGGAGAAGGGAGGAGGTGGAAGTAAATGAGAACTGAAATAGTATTTCTAAGTGCTTTTTTAGGGTGGGGGGGGGAGGAGGGGAGAGGGTTGTATCCAAGCAACAGATAGCAGCTATTATGCACATTTCTCTAAAAGCCTCCACAAGATTTTTAGGGAGGAATTGATCACAAATTAATCATTTTTCAGTTATATTTTTATTTTCAAAAAAGCATTGGCAACGTTAGGAGACAGGAGTAAAAGGAACACACCGTAGAGCAACTAAGTCAGTAGGCTTTTTGCTTTTGAATACGGGTTGTTTGTTAAGTATGCTAGAGAGCTTTTCGTTTTGTTTAGGAAAATTATTTAAAAATTGTTGGATAGTAAATGGAGCTTGGGTTGTCACTGAAACACAAAAATTCCCACTGCCATATAATCAGGGCCAGATCCCCAGCACTGCCACCAGCTGTTTCATGCTGCTCAGGCAATACAAAGCACCCAGAAAGCTTCCCCAAAGGGGAAGCTGGGGGTTCGTGGTAGAGCTGGCTTTATACTAACACTCCTCTCAGCAGCACAGCTTGTGCATCACGGTGGGTGAGAGCACTGGGGAATGGGGCCACAGCATACTGCAATGAATCTGCTCTTCCCTGGGGTAATGGCCCATCAGGGATATTACAAACGTGCATTAGCTAGAACAGTCAATTCATTCCCCAGCTGGCCATGGGGCTCACCCCACCTTCACCTCCTGCTCCACATGCACCCATGTTGTGGAGGACACAGCTGAGGACTGAACCATAAACACTAACTCCTTCATATTGCATAAAACCCACTGAAGCACTAATATACAGTTGTTTTTTAAATTGGCCAGGAGGCACATCCACGCAACAATTCTATCATATCCAAACTTTTCCATCCTTTCCTCTACGGTTTCAAAGATTATTTGGCACAGCTCAAAGCAATGTTCATGGGGAGGGAAGTGTTAAAATACGTAACTGGCCCACATCCATGCAGTCACTTATACATTCTTTGTAGTTTCATGATCTACTGGTTTGCACCTTCACCATGGCCATTTATTGCAGGTCTGTGTTGTGTGTTGATGTCGTTCTACCAAGATTTGAGATCTGCTCTGGCCTCCAGGTACACCTCTACCTTGATATAATGCTGTCTTCGGGAGCCAAAAAAAATCTTACCGCGTTATAGGTGAAACTGCATTATATTGAACTTACTTTGATCTGCCGGATTGTGCAGCCCCACCCCCTCAAAGCATTGCTTTACCATGTTATATCAGAATTCGTGTTATATCGGCTCATGTTATATCGGGGTAAAGGTGTAGTTTCCTTGCTTGTAAAATAGTGTGAAATATCTGGGATATAATATCTTCTCTCTTTAGCAACAGCGGACTAAGTAATGAATGTAAGAAGCAACAAGAAATTCTATCTTTTTAGCACTATAAAGTATCAGAGGGGTAGCTGTGTTAGTCTGAATCTGTAAAAAGCAACAGAGGGTCCTGTGGCACCTTTAAGACTAACAGAAGTATTGGGAGCATAAGCTTTCGTGGGTAAGAACCTCACTTCTTCAGATGCAAG